GACTCCATGGACCTTTATTCTGCTGCAATGGTTGCTGAAGTGCCCCCTTCTTTCTTTTCACGTTGGTGTCTCTCTCCTACACTGCACTTCCCTCCTCTGTTGGGTTTGGCACAACTGATTGTACAGTCATGCAATGGACTAGACCAGAGAGCTTATCTGTCTGAAAGCCAACTTGTTTTTTACCTGGCCACATTTCTTTTCTTCCAAACCAAAACACTGACTTGGTGTCTGATCTGGGTACACAAACCCTCACACTAATACAATGGAAGAGCCATTAAGTTGGGAAGGAGCCCCCATAGGAATGTAGGGTGTAGTGTAAACCTTAGCAGTACTGCTCTCAAAAGCAAGGAAATTATTTGCGCAACATCTCTAGTCTCTGAAACCATGACTAATGGTAACACTGTCCCAGCACATGATCATGTCTGTAGAACCAATCAATATGTACTGAGAGATGCTGATGGTCCCTGCTCCAGAGCCTTGCTTCTCTTGCTAATATTGGTAATTATCTCTGAAGTTATTATGGCATAAATAAGTAATGTATGCAAATTTGTGTATGTTCAGAGGGTGATGTAATCTGTCAATTTGTATTCACTTGCTGAAGCTTTAAGACCAGCAGCAACCATCTGGCCAGGTGGGGTCTTACGAAAGCATCATTATGTTTCCAAATCAGAGCAAAAATAGATGAACATCCCTTACTGCAGGAGCCTGGAGAAAAACTGGTGTCATAATCAAATTAAGAAGAGAAGGGATAGAAGTAAGAGAAAGAGGCATAAAATAACTTATTATTTCAGATGACCCGGCTTTCTCTCTTTATTAAGGGCTGCCAAGTTCATCCTTGCTACCAACCTCCTCCTACAGCACCAGCCACAGTGAGTGTTTGTTCCTCTGTCAGGCTGCAGGGGCTGTCAATGCGGACACCAGTTCAAAGTAAAGCTTTCCTAGTGAAAACCCTTCCCTTCAAAGATGGGGAAGAATGTGCTTGATCACCAAGATTTCCCTGAACCCACAGCACCACAGAAGTAGGTAAGCACTTGTGCACTTGCCTGCATCTATTCACTGACTTGATTTCCAAGGAGTTTTGCCACAGCTGTAAAAGATATCCTACAGTCTTGTATTGTTCTGTGCCTCAGCCCACTTTTTCTACCTTCATCTCAAAGACCTCCGTCAGATGCATTTAGAGCAGTACTTTGGCTGCTCCTCTACTTTGTAAGGCTGTGTTAGTTGTAGCCCTTTGGCAAAATGCTCGTCTGTACCACTGGACAATAGAGGAAGAAACAGAAATGCTGTAGTATTTGTAGTACATGTAGTATATGTGACACTGTAAGTAGCATCCTCCTTAGTCTTCTTAGGAAGTGTCTGTTCCCACAGGTAATCCAGTGATTTTGTACCCCTGGTACTTCAGGCCAGCTGTCAATCATGCATCTATACAAAACAAATAAAATATGGATGGACAGCACTGCTAATGAAAACATGGCAAAAATTACGAGGTAACTCGAAGATACTCACATTCCTGTGTTATTCAAGTTAGCTGTTATTTTGTTATTATCTACTTCTAAAAATACAGTTTTTTGAGATTTTGTATGTTGTTTTTCCAGTTGTTATTTGTCAATAGAGAGAAATGGTCAGCACAGGAAATGTCAGTGACGTAACACATCTATTCTGCATCCAGATCTCTCTGTCGGTACTAGCTTCAAATTAAGCACAAAAACAGTAAATTTTAACACCATATAGTGTGATGGTATAGAATAATACACACGTACAGGATTATGCTTTCAAAGGAGAAGAAATGCAGGTGCTGTTTGTTCCTTAAAGAATGACCCAGTGATACTGCAGCCATGGGAGCAGGCAGACTGCTGTGCTTCTGTCCAGCTGAGAACCTCGTTACCCATCTTTTGAAATATTTCAGCTGCAGAAGCAACACACGTAACACTCACTTCAGATAAATAAAACAACTCTACTTTTAAAGAGAAGTGCTCTGTAGCTCCTCCTGCTGCTTAATCTTCATTCTTACAACATGCTCTTTACCTATGAAGTATGAACCATAGTAATATTAAAAGCAAAAAAGAATGTTGGTCCTGCAAGGCCTCCTCTGGAGTGGGCAGGTTTCAGATCAGTCCAGAGCCAAGAGCTTGCCTTTGCTCTAGCTGCTGTATGAGATAAAGCTATGAGACTTGGCTGCTACATGGATAAAACTGTTGTCAGAAATGAGACTGTTATTTTTATGTCTCCAGCAAAGTGCCTAAATGTGCTTCATGCAATACCGTGGCACTGCTGCAGAAGATTGAAATCTTTAATCAGGTCACAATACGGTTTCTGGTGGATGGACCACCAGCATGGGCATCAAGGCATGAAACTGCCAGCACCTCCTGTGATCTCATGTTGCAGTTAAGATAACTACAGTAACTGCTCTTTGGGAATCTTTAATGCACCACAAGGAATGAAAGCATGAGGTCTGGCAGGCAGGATGGGCCTGATTCAGCAAAGTGCTTGTGTGTTGCTGACATCAAGAGGACTGCTTAGGGTCTTAATTGCCTTCCTGAATCTGAGCCAAAGAGGAAAAAAAGTGAGATGGTAAGCTGCAAGACTATTCAGACTGAGACATTTGGATCCTTTGTTGATAGGATGATTCTCCCCAACAATTCAGGGCAGTTTAGGGAGCATGTGCCTCGCTTTCTGGCCCCAATTTAGCACACGTTTTGTTGCCTGTGTGACATTATTTGTGTGGATTTGTTTAGGAAAAGAAAGACACAAGTGGAGTGCCGCACAGGGCTGTTTGTAGGTCAGGGCTACATTTTAATATCTACAGTGTTCCTGCTAAGGTTTTACAACTGCTAGAGACATCCGGACTAACAGTGACATATTCTCTACCACAGCCCCTGTACCTGTGCTTGTTCTTGTGCCAGAGTACTTATTCTGAACCTCATTAAAAGAAAGAACAATATGTTCAGCAAGTTATAAAATATTTTTAATAGTACATAAACATTAGACAAGTAAAAGTTAACTATTCCAATATCAATGTTGAAATATATATATATATATTTTCTCACCGGTTAGTCAGAACCCATAGAGAATTGCTGCATTTGCCCTAATTAATGGCCTATTTGCAGAGAGGCTTTTAATTAACAGCTGACATTTAAGCAGCACTACAATATGCTGTGCAATTATCACCTGGCCTACTTCTGTGTGATTCAGATGCTCTTGCAGAACAAGGTACAATGCCTGTTTTAATGAAATTTCATAGAACACAGTGGTGAGAGACAACTGAGAAAAAGAGGAAATAGAGTTGCATTGTCAGAGGGTCTTAGGGTGGCCTTTCCCAGTACAATTTACCTGGTCCACTGGACTGGTTGCCCCTCAGAGATGCTCACACATCTCCCAACTTGGCCCCAGGGCACATATTTCTAATCCACTCCAACTCCTCAAATTCTCTGTGTCATGTCCACCACAGAGTAAAGCAACACAACTGAGCCCATTTGATAGCTTGGTGCTGCTAAGGCAGGACAGACTTCTGCCTGAAATTTCCTCTGTCTTTGCTCCCTTTGTTGGCATTCCTGAGGCTTGCTTTCCAGCAACTCAGTCTGGTTCAATTCATTAGCCATGGGAACAAAACAAAAACTAGAGCACTTTACTGCTTGTGGGTGAGCTCAGCTGGCTGTGCAGGCACCCTCACTCCAAGGAAGGAGAAAGAAGCATGGAACCACCACCGCTGTGAAGGGAAAAGGTGCTCATTTAAGCTGTACTGTAAATTGAGCTATGTTGTGAAATAAGAGCTTGTGCAGGAAGGTAGAACATACATGAGCATATTTTTGTATTGTATACACTTTGTGCCAGAACACAAATGTCCAACGAAATGATGGGGTGGTAGCAGGGAAAGGTGTGACCAGGTAGCAGTAGCCTCCTGGCCCTATGGCAGCAGCCACACCAAACCCACTCCTGCAGCACTGAGCTGTAATCAGAGGACTCTGGGGAGCAATCACTTGCTTCATCCTGCCTCTTTAAACTGCTCTACATTGCATGCAAGAACTTAAAGGAAGCATTAAGGTTTAAATACATCAATATTTGCTGGGTCACTGAGAGACTGAGCAAACACTGAGCTATGGCCATGCTGAACCTCTCCCCTACTCTCTGGCCTGATGAATATTTAATTATGCTACAGCAAAAGAAATAGCTTTTGCACGGATGCCTGGCTAACCCAGAGTACATTGTGCCCCGTTAATGAGAGAAATGAGCTTGTTTTCCTGGGTAGAAGAGGGCCTTTGACACAGAATCAACACATAGTGGGTGGTAGGGAGTTACCCAAGGAAGAGCTGATTCCTTTGTATACATGTCCAGTGGCAGCAACTTTGTTGGGAAACAACCCCAGCCGTGAGTGTTCATGGCTTTGGTTCATGGCAGGGACAGGCTGACACACAAGTGACTGATAAGGTTACAGTCCTGAGGTATGCACAGTGACTGTGCTGCCTCCAACCAGCCCTGATCCAACAAAATCAAACCAAATTTAACTTGGCATGCAGAGCTGCATTTAGAAAGCTACGACAGCTCAGGGGTATTTCAGAGATCTGCGGTGGGGACAGGAGAGACAGCTGGGGTGGCAATCTCGTTAGTCAGCCTGATATAAACTCTCAATGTGAACTGAGGCAGTCAGGCACCAATGGGATTTGGGAGCCTCCAGGGTTGGGCAGCTGATCAGCAAGGAGAAACAGAGTATCATGATTTTGGACTTAGAAATTCAAATTTGAGAAAGCTTTGCAAAATACAATGCACGTACCCAAGCTATTTTTGTGGATCTACTCTTTGAAGTGCGTGCTAGGCCAATCAGCCTTTTATTCTACCAAACAAAGTTGATGATTTTTTCATCCCAAACGTTACAGGCAAGGGACTATTTAAGAATTGACCATGGGGTCCTGTGTTGGTTAGTATCTAATAATTCCTGAGATGTCATTGGTTTGTTCAATGACTCTGAAAGGAGCCTGTAAAAATAGTTCCATGGAGCTCTGCATATATCGGAATTCAATATTTCAGTCTGACAGCCTTGAGTCTAAGAGCAAGGCTTTGTTCTTTCAGCCAGTACACAGCCATCAGCTATAATGCAGTCGAGTCGGGGTCAGTGATGGGAAACAAGAACACACTCAATAATTCAGATGATGACCTGACTTTCCTACAGTTTAGCAATACAAGGAGACAGCGTCTCCAAAATTAGTGGGATTTTTTGAGTAAGAATGAGAAACTGTTTGCAGGATTGTTTTTCTTTCTTTCCTCTCTCTTCTTTTGTTTGTTTGTTTTTTTTTTTCTTATTGCACAACAAAGCATGCAGGAACAAGTGTCACTGTCCTGCTGGTGGAATTTTCAACATGTAAGCGATCAAAAGAGAATCTTTTGTCCGTGTTTCTACAGTCTTCATTCCACAGTCGTAACATATCCTTTTCCAATCACGACAATATACAAGAATGAGACAAACTATGAAAATTAAGGTCAGGCTTGCGCTCCTCTCTTCTGCTAGGTGGCAATATGTTCCCTAGAAAACCAGCTTCCTTCCAGGCACTGCTCTGCCTTCCTCAGGACAGCCTGGGCATTGCTTCACCCAGGGGGAGAAGGCTTTGTAGGAGGGTATGCTGAGGGCTGCTTCCTTCCCACAGATGTCTAATTTGAGACTGAGGATTATCAGAAAGAAATGCAGTACCGAATCCTGCTGGAAAAATCTTCACGAATAGGAGAGGAAAAAATCTTTACACTGAATGAAGAAACAAGCTTGCCTGGGGCATTATTTGCGTACTGGGAATGCTGTAACAAGGAAATGAATCCCTCTGTTTTATGAAGATATTGCCACTCAGGACTGGAGTATTTCATATTCCTACAGGATTCTCTTAACAATGGAAAATTAAAAGTATCTATCTGTTTAGATTGCAAAGATTTTGTTTCTTCTAAATGTATGACTAACTGAAATACTTTGCATGTTTAATCATAATATTTAATCAACTAGACCAACTACAGGACATTTGTATTGACAGTTCGGTTGAAAAACAGCTTTAATAAAGGTGGAGAAGCATTTCCCAGCGTATTTTTTTCATCCACGCTACAAACAAGTGAGTCATCTCACACATGCATATTAGCAATAAAGGCCGGCTGGCATCTGCATATCGCTTTGAACGCACCCCATCTGTGCTGGAACCTCCATTTACGTTCCTGGCTTTGCTTCCCCCAGAGGGGAGCTCACTGCGCTTCTCCCATTACAGGAGCTCCGCGGGCTGACTCCACCGAGCCGGGGCCGCCCTTCAGCGGTGTCACCCAGAGCCCGGCACACAACCTGCCCTGCCCATTGCCCGTCCGCCGCCATTATCTCCCGCAGGGGGCTGCCCTGATACCCGCCGCAGCGCAGCAGCTCGCGGTTCTGCGTTGCGGGCTCTTAGGGCGCGGCGCCGGTTCCCGGCGGGGCCGCATTCACCGCAGCACCACCCGCCCGTCCGGCAGAGGGAGGGGAGCGGTGGGGCCGTATCGTGCCGTGCCGCGGGCAGGTCAGTGCCCGCCTCTTCTCGGGCAGCCCGGGTTTCTGGGGCGAGCGGTGCTCCGCGGGGTGCCGGGCTCGGGGCCGCTGCTGGGGCCGGCCGTGCGGGAGGAGCAGCTCCCAGCGGCGCCGCAGCCGAGCGGCGGGCCGGGCGGAAGGAGGCTGGGCGCAGGCCGGGTGCGCTCCTCGTTAGTGGGCCGGTCCGCGCGGCGGGCGGCGTCTGCCTGATCTCTCTGTGCTGGTCGGGGCTGGGGATCCCGCCGCTTGCTCAGCTTCACTGGAGATCTCTAGTGTTACTCTGCAAGGAGCTGCCGCTCCTCCGGCTCTGCCCGGCATGGAGCTGGGGTGCAGGGCTTCCTTCTCTCCCTTTGCTGTTTTATGGAAGAAAAGCATCTGCACCAAAAATGCTTGCTTTGACCAGCTGAAGTGCTGCAGTGGTTTGCAGTTAGAATTAATTCACCTTCATGCTTTTTATGGTTTAGGGTTTGGTGACTGAAAACCTGCGTGCAGTAGTTTCTGTTCATCTAGTGGTGTCCAGAGCTCGCCAGTGGACTTTGAGCTTTGTGTGAACTTGAAACCTGGGTTCTGACAGTGCTATGTGGGGTCCTTTGCTAACAGAGGCAAATAGAACCTCTTCACATCAAGACATTAGAAATATAGCATCTGCAGAAGGTGAGGGGTTCTTGCTCTCACTCTCTACTATGAAATTCAGTCCATGTACTTATCTTGTGAACAAACAAACCCGAGTGCTATCATGTAGTAGCATGTACTTTATTGAAGGGCTTCTTTTACCAGCTGTTTCCTATCCTTGAAGGCCATTATTTTTCACTGAACCTCAGATAAGTGTGATTGGTTTACTAAATCTTAAAAGTAATTGAAACCTGATTAAAAGAGAAATTGCTTAGGAATGGAGAGACAATTCAAGTCTAAACCTTAGCCTGCCGGGACCATTAAAAATATAATGCTAAGCAGAGAACAGATAACTTGAAAATCACATAACTTGTCATTCCCAAAATTGTTCAGTAATAAGGGAAAAACAAGGGGAAAAAGAGGCAGAAGGAAAAAATAATAAGAGATCATGTAAAAGAAAACGGGTATAAAGGGTAAGCCAGACTAAAACTGAAACCATAGACAATTTAACTTGTGATGTTAAGAGGCTTTTTCCAAAATGTATTTTGTGTACATGATTTGAAGTAACTTCAGTTAGTTTGGTCATCTCACTTGTTCTCCCAGCTTCTGGAAATATAAACATTGTTTTTATGGCTGACATGGGGAAACTGGGAGACCTAAATCCACTGTTTTTTTTCTCAGTGGTATTATAATGGCTAAAAAAGCCCATCTTTTGTAGACTATTTCTAAACTCCATTCTTATAGGAATTGCAAAGCTCCTTAAGGATCTTCAGCTTGCCTCAGCTGCTAGTTATTGGAATGGGAAGAACCTGTCAGGTGAGGTGTCCAAGTAAACCTGACCACCCACTGCTGAAGAAGCGTGGTGTATGTGCAGATGAGGTAGACAGGGACTCAGGTGAGGGGTTGTGACAACAGTTGGAATAGTGGCCTGTTCAGCCAGTGCTGGCCTGATACATTCCACCTTCACCTCTCTTGCATCTAAAGCCAGGGTTCTCTGACCTCTCTTCACTATCAGGCCCATGCCCTTGTTTTGATTTTTATCTATGCTGACGGTCTTGAATCTAGCAGTTTCTGAATTCCAGCATTGGATGCTTCCCCCTTTTTTTTCCCCCCAACACTCACCAACCACTATCCCTGATTTCAGATGGCTGATGTTTATGATTATCACTCTTTTTGTACAAGTGAACTACTGTCTCGCTTTGGTTATATTTTTCCTTTACTCTTGCTCTTTTGCCTGCTTTCATGCTGTAGAGGCCATCATGCTGGTCCTCAGCACTGGGTCACCACTTATTTTCATTTGTTACCCAGTCACTGTGGGGAGCTGGTGGAGCATCCAGCAGTCACACTCACTGCACCCTGGTACAGATAGATACCTTCCACACTGTCTGGTGACACATGTGCATGTTGAGCCATGAGTCATCTCACAATCATCTTCAGTTTACCTCTTCTATCCCTTTCTACATGCCCTTTCTTTACAATTCTGTGCTTGTCACTGAAATTACAGCTCTTGGAGGTCTTTGTCAAGGTCTGTGCTTCTTGAACTGTCAGCTGCCTTTCAAGTGTTTGGCAGTGTCACATAAGTGCCAAGTGCTCTTTTGTTATGCTGTTTAAATATTTTCTTTCTCTTTAGATTTCTTTTGTGGACTTTGTACGTTATATCCCTTTCTTTTCTGCTATACTTTATCTCAGGATACCTTTATCCAAGACAAAAAATTCAGCTGATGTCCTTTTGCAGATGACACATGGGTCTGTGTCTGCATTTCATACCTATCATCTCCTGCCCCCAAGAATGGATGTCTTTATTTCTCTGGTCTCCCACAGGTAAATTCTGCATGGTGAAAACACATCTCCACATACTTTCTCCCCGTTTTCTTTTTTCCTTATTTGTGTCAGTAATTCAGGCACTATTTTTGAGTGTTTAGGAGTTTCCCCTGCTTGAATATTTTAATTTGCCTATTATTTTTGTGTAGCTGCTCTATGATGCATGCAGCTCAAGTTTTCATCTGGGCTCCCCACATCCAGTTCTCTGGTTTGTCTTAGTTCACAGGATCGTAGGGGTTGGAAGGGGACCTCCAGAAATCATCTGATCCAACTCTTTTAAAGCAGGTTCCCTACAGCAGGTTACATAGGAAACCATCCAGGTGATTTTGAATATCAGCAAAAAACACTCCACAGCCTCTGTCGCCCTCACAGGGGAGCCTGTACCAGTCCAGTGCTCTGTCACAGTCCCAGGAAAGTTATGCCTTGTATTCTTCCTGTGTGCCAGTTTGTGCCCATTGCCCCTTGTTCTGTTGCTGGGTACCACCGAAAAGAGCCTGGCCCCATCCACATGACTCCCATCCTTAGATGTTTACAAGCAATGATACGATTCCCCCTTAGTCTTCTCTCCAGGCTGAACAGTCCCAGGTCTCTCAGCCTCTCCTCATAAGAGAAGTGCTCCAGGCCCCTCATCATCTGTGTGGCCCTCTGCTGGACTCTCTGAAGTTCCCTGTCTTGAATTGGGGAACCCAGAACTGGACACAGTACTCCAGATGTGGCCTCACCAGGGCAGAGTAGAGGGGGATGGATCACCTCCCTTGGCTGTCTGGCCACGCTCTGCCTAATGCACTTCAGGAAACCATTGGCTTCATGGCCACAAGGGCACACTGCTGGTTCATGGCCAACGTGTTGTCCACTAGGACACCCAGGTCCTTCTCTGCAGAGCTTCTTTCCAGCAGGCCAGCCCCTCACCCGTACTGATGCATGTAGTTATTCCTTTCCAGGTGTAAGACTCTGCACTACCCCTGTTGAACCTCATCAGGTTTTTTTCCTCCCATCCCTCCAATCTGTCCACGTCTCGCTGTATGACAGCACAGTCTTCTGGTGTATCAGCTACTCCTTCCAGCTTTGTACCCTCAGCAAAATTGATGAGGGTGCATTCTATCTCTTAATCAGGTCACTGATGAAGATGTTATGCCCATCTAAACCTGCTGCTTGGCCAGCCAAATTTATACTCTCTGGAAATTGCAGCTGGCAGTGCTGACTGAGGTTGCTATTTGAGGTAGTGTGTTTTTAGAGAAAAACTGGCTATTGGAAGAGATTAATGGCATTTTGTAGGGCAAAAATACTTGCTTGAATCTTGAGGTTTATTATTTTCTCAGTGAATCTGATCAATTAGGGAATGTTTATGGTTTACTTATGGTAATATTTTTTTACTTATGGTAATATTTTTTTTAATTAACATAATGAGAGCTGTATTTTAACTAAGCAGTTACCAGAGGTTTTCAAAAGGCCTCTGAGAGATATATATATATATATATATATATATATATATATATAATATATTTATATAAAATATATATTTACATATATATATATATATATATATATATAAAATAAATACTGCACAAAAAATAGAAAGTGCATGTCTCTGTATGCATGTATTGCTCCTGTACTTGTGTATCATTTCTACAGTGCTGAGTTGTTGACTTTCAGCATGTGTTTGTATTAATCCATGCTCTTCCAGTCCATGGATAAGTGCATTAAAAATGATTCAAGTACTATCTGGGATTTAAGCTGTTGCATTATGTGACAGATACAACAACTGGTTACTGATGTAGTTGCAGGTTGTGGAACGTATAACTCTTGATATCCACTCTGGTGGCTTGTCTGTTCATTGTTACTGTTGATATGTTAAAACTCTAGCAGTTTTTACAAACAGAAAATCGATAATTGTCCGTATTATCAAAAAGTTGATCGTTATAAAATCATGCATAAATTGTGTGTGTTGCAGATGTTAATGGATATAGCATGCCTGTCTTTCTAAAATAAGACAAAGACTTCATATCTGTAAATGTATCTAAATACACAATTATATTAAACTGAAAACTTCAGTCTAATAAATATATCTTGTCATGTCCCGTGGCTTTGTGCTGGTTAGTATGATTTGCCCTCGCACTCCTTCATTTGCACTATAAAAAGTCCATTTGAGTCACGTTGTGGATTGCGAGCATGTCCTACTTAGTGCAATTTTGAATGTTGTTTATCAGAGATCAGCAGAAATTCCTTTAGTTTGAGAGCATTGAAGCATAAATATCACGCTTTTCCTGGGTGATTAGCTTTCTCAGACTGAGCAGTTAAAATAATCCAGTATTTATTAGAAAAGTAGTGGGTACTGCCCAGTGCTGTAAGAGATGGATTTAAAAAGAATAATTCAGTGATAATACCTTGCATGAGTCATTAATCATGAGTCATGATCAGCACGCAGTGATGTTTAATTTGTTTTTTAATCTGGCACTTGCTGATGCTCTTTATTACCATAGTGATAATATTAAAGAGCTGTTAATGCATATAACCACACAGTTAAAAATGACAGACTTGTTATTTTTTTGGTGGAATAAAATTTCCATATCTTAAGTCTGCTTTGCTTTGTACCTTTTTTGACATGTAAAGTCTAGGTAGTATAAAAGTGATCAAACAATTGTGAATTGCCAGCGACTTATGTTAAGTACTGATTTTTTTCACCTTTTTAATTTTTTTTTCTATTTTTGTTGTTGTTTTAAGCCAATCATTGTGGTTTCCCAAATAATTAATTCTAGTCTTTGCTCTTTAGAGAAAGAAGATTTGTGTTCATTAAAATTGGAAACTAATTGCTTTGTGTTGAGTCAAGCATATAGTACAAACTACAGTTTGCAGCAGGAGCCTGCGCCCATCCCTGTTCTTAGTGTTTGTTCTCTCTGGTGCAAAAACTAGTAGCTGAGTGGGAGTTTTATTGTATGAATGCATATGCTGAAGAATGAAGTTTTACAGAAACGCTTTATTTTCAGTGCTTTATGAGGATTGCCATAAATCAAAGCTGAGGGAATTAATGGAGCTTGTCACGTTATTCCCTTACGTACTTTATTTATTTATTTATTTATTTACTGTTCTAGCACCTTGCTATGTAAAATGAATGAGAACATGGAAGGCTGTTTCTCTCCTGAGAGCCTGAACATAAAAGGAAAATGTGGCTCAGAAATTGGCTTTGGTAACCTGTTTTTACTCTTAAATAAAAATTATAAAGAAGCGATTTTAGAAGCTGTGAAAGTGATGGCTGAGGTGTTGGTGATATTTTCAATGTGCGTGGATATAGAGCAGGAGGTTGATGTTATTTGTGGAATAATTCATCTTGTATTCAATCAGATTTTTATTACATTTTAATTAGCTTTATATACATTTTTATTAGCTTATACATGAGTATGCAGAAGTTGATCATGACAAATTAAAACCCTGAATTTCATAAGGAACTTAGTTGAGACTTCAGAGTGTCTTATCAGATGTTAAGCAATGATTCCTTTACCTACTCCCCTGTATATGATGTTATAATATATGGCTTTGTATAGGCCTTACCAGCATGTTTGTGAGACGGCAATATGGCAGAACCAGTATGAATCTGTTGGCATAGGTGACTCTCTTTGAATGTTCCCCATATGGCATATGCTGTTTTGCATTCTGTTACGTGGCTGCTGTGCAGACTCCTGCTCTGTTTAAATGGGGATTATATTTGCCCCAACAGAAGCATTTTCCCATTTTAGTATCCAGTGATACAAGCTAGTTGTGCACCTAACTGGATTGTTTTCTTCTTTCATTGTAAAATATTAAATTAAATGTGTGTATTTAGCATGTATTTGCTCTTATATAATAATGTTCTCAACAATTTTAGTCTATTATTAGCTATGAAGTGACCTGGGCACAGAATAGAATATATCTTTCACCAAATTTCATCTCTATTTTTGCTTTGGTTCACCTTAAAATTCACAGGGGCCACTTGCCATTTCTGGAAGAATCTTGTTTCTGCCAAATATGACTGTCAGAGGAGGTCTTTTCCTAGTTCTCCAAAAATTGAACATTCACCACATTTTGTGAACAGTTGTATGAATTAAAAAGGGACCAGAAATAAAGATGGGGCTAGTCTAGCAATACATCAAGCCTTTTCTATGTGTCCTGTTCTTTTACTTCCTGCTCTGAGTGGTTTCTAAGACCACGCTTTCTTTTTCAGACCAACTCTTCAATTCAGAACTTACCCAGCTTTTTTCAAATCGCTTGTAAATCACTTTTTCCAACATCAAGAATAATGCTTTATGACTTCCTTTTTATTTCCTGCTATACACGTTCATGAATGGTAGATCCTGTCTGACAGATCTGATTTCATTCTGTGTCAAGGTGACCCGCTTAGTGGATGAAGGTGAGGCTGTTGATGTGGTCTACCTGGACTTCAGTAAGGCCTTTGACACTTTCCCCCATAACATTCTAGTGGAGAAGCTGGCTGCCCATGGTTTGGATGGGCGTATGCTCCTCTGGTTGAAACACTGGCTGGATGTTTGGATGGCTGGGCCCAAACAGTTGTGGTCAGTGCAGTTAAATGCAGTTGGTGGCTGGTCACAAGAGGTTTCCCCCAGGGCTCAGTACTGGGATCGCTTCTATTTAACATCTTTCTTAATGATCTTGATGAAGGGATTGAGTGCACCCTCAGTAAGTTTGCAGATAGCACCAAGTTGGGAGGGGGTGTTGATCTGCAAGAGGGCAGAAAGGCACTACAGAGAGACCTGGATAGACTGGATCGATGGGCCAAGGTAAACTATGAGTTTCAGTAGGGCCAAGTGTCAGGACCAAACTTGTCTGTTTGGTCACAACAACCCCAGGCAACCCTACAGGCTTGGGGAGGAGTGGCTGGAAAACTGCCTGACGGAAAGGTACCTTGGTGTACTGATGGACAGTCAGCTGAATATGAGCCAGCAGTGTGCCCAGGTGGCCAAGAAAGCAAATGGCATCCTGGCTTGTATCAGGAATGGTGTGGTGAGCAGGACTAGGGAAGCAATCCTGCCCCTGTACTCAGCATTGGTGAGGCCTCACCTTGAGTACTGTGTTCAGTTTTGAGCATTTCAGTACAGAAAGGACATTAAGGTGCTGGAGCAGGTCCAGAGGAGGACAACAAGGCTTGTGAAGGGCTTGGAGAATGTGCCCTGTGAGGAGCAACTGAAGGAGCTGGGGCTGTTTAGTCTGGGGAAAATGAGGCTGAGGGGAGACCTTATCGCTTTCTTCTAATAACTGAAAGGTGCTCACAGTGAGAGCGCGGTTGGTCTCTTCTCACTGGTGACAGGATGAGGGGACCAGGAGAGGTTTAGGTTGGATATCAGGAATAACTTTACAGAAAGGGTTGTTAAGCACTGGAATAGGCTCCCCAGGGAGGTGGTTGAGTCACCATGCCTGAATGTGTTTAAAAACCATTTGGATGTGGTGCTTGGAGATAAGATTTAGCAGTGAGTTGTTATTGTTAAGGCAGTTGCTGGTTAACTTGCTGTTGGGCTTGATGATCTATATGGTCTTTTCCAACCTGAGCTATTCTGTGATTCTGTGTGGTTTCTTACTAGAGTGGAGATAATGGAGAAATATGCCATTGATGTGCTGGTACATACAAACAGACTACCAATGTTATGTAGCTGTGTAGGAAGCAAGAGCTATGCTCAGTTCATAATGCTGTTGTACAGTTCCTCCTTTGGGATACTCCTTTGATTCTGGTGCTCAGTGTTGAAGTGAGATCAATTCAAAGAGGAACAACCTACTGTAATGACTGTGGAAAAACTTAAGGCTACCAGGGCCTCGGCAGTATTACAAGTTGGGTGGAACATGACAAATGTATTAATGGAATTAGGCTACAGGGAACTGAATTCAAGGAGAAGTTTTCAGTTTTTAATTTTTGTGTTCTGCAAGTAATTAACCTGGGAAAGTACTGCAATAATCATTGCTTGTAGACAAACTGGAGATGCACCTCCTGAAAACTAGAGGATTTGGTAGGATTTCTCCTCCAACGCAGATGTGTTTTTTTCATTTTGTTTTAGTTGGCTGGTTTGTTTTGGCAACGGAAGGAGCTGAAACATTGCTGTAGAGTAAGCTGGTCTAATGGAATATACAAGTATTTTACTGCATTTCTTGAGCCTCTTCCATGTTCTGCATTGAAACGTGTTTTGGATAATTTTTATAAGAAGAGATTTTAAAAGATGCTAATTTCTGTCTTAACTGCTGAAATCACTGCATAACGTTCAACTGTTAACTTTGTGGGAGTAGATTCCAGTTAAGAATTTTGTGAGTGCTGTCTTTCAGTCAATTTCTGTAGACCCCTGTGATGGCATCACTTTGATATTAGGTTCTGCTGTGTTACTTCTCCTTCTGTAGAGGACTGAATTGGATCTCAAAGGAAGATTATTATTATTTTTTTAATGTTTCTTTCCAGAAATGGCAGTTTTCCTATGGAAAAACTTATTTCAGACTACAAAGGGAAAGATACTACAGCAGAGAAGGGCACTGCTGTATAATGGTGCTCATGAGTATGACGAAGAATTGATAAAGAAGAAACTTCAGCAGTTTGCTGGTGGATCCGTGAACCTTTCCAAAGAACACAGTGGCATTGGAATACTTACCTTGAACAACTCCCGGCTAATGAATGCCTTCACAGGTATTAATCAATTGATGAGGATGCTGGTATTTGCATAAACAAGGTGAAAAGCTGTATCTTACCATTCTTTAGGTAAAAGAAGAAATGTTTGATTTTTTTTAACCAGAGGTATAGTAAACATCCATGGTTCTGTGTGGAAGCTTTGTCCTGTGCATCATAAATATAAGAAGTTCCCAGTGACACAAGAAATGTCTGACAGAATCTACTTCTCTTTTTTTTCAGTGGAGATGATTCTGTTGCTGTGCTCTTTCTTATTTCTCATTTCATTTTGCCTCTGCTGCTTTAGAAACATAAGGTATTTTTACAGAGAAAGGAAGAAATGATGTAGATTTATTTGTAGATGATGTAGAAAGGACAAGATTGGACTGTTGTTTTTTACCTAAAATTTTATCTCTCACTTAGGCTTCTGCAGTCTGTGGTAATTCACCTAGATATCTCTGCAGTTACTCTTTTGTTTCTTCTTAAAAGCTCTTCTATAAAATCATTGTCGAATTTGAGAAAATGCAGCTAAAAGAACTAGTATGGAGATTGTCCCTCTGAATAACTCCCTGTCAGCATGCATGTTATTATACAATCACAATTACACTGTTTGCTCTTTTTCTACAGGTTTTTTTCTTATTTTTGACTTAAAATAGATCTGTGCAAGGCACAGACTGTGGGCTGTGTGTTCATAGCTTACTTGTTGTGGTAGCTGAAAGGGGCCTGAGAAATAAGTGGCAATCGAAAGAGACAAAAATTCCAGCGCTGTGGAGATCAGGTGTGATATAAGGCATGTTGCTTAGACTAAACTTAACTTAAAACTGTGTTCTTTGTTTTCTGCTTGCTTGACATGAGAGTCTCAGAAGTGATATGTAGAAATCTCAGTTAGTGTTCTGTAATGTAATCTCTCTTCATATGATTGCCATGAAAATAAATTATTAGTATACATCAATAGCTTATATATATGGTCTAGTGGCTATCAAGAAGTTATAAAAACCCAGGAGGAAATAAATAGTTTAGAAAACGAACCTGGGACCAGGCAGTACTGTTTTTATCATAGTATGTAGAACCTTTTAGAGAGCAGTACTTCATCTTGCTAGGTAATAGCCACAGAAATTTGCTCTGGGAGATCTTAACTCTGGTGGTTTAGGAGATTACTGCTTCTTTCGACTGTGCATCTCTGCCAGAGATTTTTACTGTTACAGCTGAGAGTGTAGAAGCAAAGTCATGCTGGCCCCTTGGACACTGCAAATGATGATATGGCCTACTAACGTACACTGCTCTTCATTTCATTTAAACATTACTGTCTGTAAGCTGTAGATACTGAGGAACTACTAAGCAATTTATCATTTTCAGTTTGCTGTATACTGAGTAATACTCTTCAGAAGTATGAAAAGGAATAGGATGAGCAAACCTTAAATTGCCCCAATAAGACCTAGCTGTCTTCATTTGCCAGCCTGCAAAATACAGTACCTAAATGAAATACTGTTGATGCTGTGTCTCAGAGCTTCTTGAAAATGGCAGATGTGAATTCATGATACATGTATGCTTCCTTTAGAAAGATGCAAAACATCGTTAAACTCTTGAGAGAAATCCTATTTGCCAGGCATTTATTTTACACAGCAGCTTTTTATCTCAAAGGAGAATTATGTTTATTTCAAGCTTGAGCAACACATTGAACTGAAAATAGAACAAAATTATGGCAAATTGCTAATGGGCAGTGTGGAGGTTGTTATGCCTTTTTTCTCTTCTTAATTAGAATCTGATAGCTACCTGTTTGAAATGGAACTAGTGTTCCATTGGAACAAGTGTTGGAAACAAGTGTTAATACTGTCAGTTAAAGCCTAGTGGAACCAATTTCAGCAGTGGAACCAACTTCTTTCTGAACTGAAGTTGAACTTTATTTAAGATAGAAGGAAGGTAGTCTGCATGAATTAGATAGTAATGGTGATGAAATCAATTCTAGAAAATAAATTCAAAGTATTTATTGTTAGATTATAATTAAAATGCAAACAAGTGATTTATTCTAATTAGATTTAGTGCTGTGAGGAGGATAAACTTACTAGTATCACATAATGAAGGACTAAGACTGGCAGAATGAATATTTTCTTTGGTATTGTGTCCTCACACATTGAATCAAATAAACTTGGCAGTGTCTGTTGGTGAAGTAATAGAAATAATAGTAGTTGTCAGTGTACACAGTAATGGAAGAGGTCATCTCCCTGGAGGGGAAGCAGTTGCTGACCTTCTTCTTTAGTCTCCCCTGCTATTGGATACACCTGCCTGATACAGTTCTTTTTTTGTATATTCAATTTTTCCGTGTTAACTGAAAAAACTAGATGTTTGACTCATAATACTCTGTGGAAAGACTCAGTAGCGTACTGCTCTGATTATTAAGAGCATCAGAAACAATGATTGTGCTGTATCTTGGCTTTTGGCAAAGAATTGATGTCAGTCAAAATAACTTTATTGTAAGAAAGTTATATGAAAAAGATAAATCCAGGGGATTGATACACACCTATTTAAAGAATGTTTAATGTCCACTTAATTCTTGATTTCCTCGGGAATGTTTTCAAAAAGTAGCAAGACTAAGGTGGATGTCCCTTACGGAGTATTCTTGACCTGGTGCTAATGTGCTTCCTTTTTAAAGAGCTGCAAGGAAAACAAGCAGGAAGAAAGAATCTTCCACATCAGGATGGATGCTATCAGGCCATTTTAGGGCAAGAAAAGATCAATACGTGCAAACATTGGGTCAAAAAACCCAAGAGTTGTAGAAGAAAGGGAAAGATTACTTGAGATATTAATGTTAGGCATGTTTATATCTGAAAAAGATAGTCCTGTCCACTTACATCTTTGTCTAAGAAGAGTGGTGCTTAGAGTATCATCAGCCTGTATGTATGTAGTCTGTTTTTTGAAATTAGTTTCTGTAAGTATTTTTGCCTTGAGTGTGGATGAGATTCACACATGTTCAAAGAGAAAAATCTTGTAGCTTCTTGTAAATTCCGTTGGTACGGAGGATAGGAAATGGGGTTATGGTTTTAAAGTAAAAGAGGGTGATTTAGATTTAACATTAGGAAGAAGTTTTCTAATACAAGAGTGGTGAGTCTCTGGAACAGGTTGCCCAGAGAAACTGTGGTGCCCCATCCCTGGAGGTGTTCAAGGCCAGGCTGGATGAGGTCCTTGGCAACCTGGTTTGATGGGTGGCAGCCTTGCCCATGGCAGGGGGCTTTAAGGTCTCTTCCAACCTGAACGATTCTGTGCTTCTGTGATTCCAAGATGCTGCTGTCTGGGACTAGCTCTAGAAACGTGAGTATAGAAATCTGTGTCAGGAAGAACTGTGGCCTGTAGAGAACCCTTTTGGGTTCTAGACAGGAAAGCTGGTGAGGGAGTAATAATTTAATTAGCTGTGTGATAGAGATTGGGAAAGTTGTCCTCACTAGTTGGTCAGTCAGCAACAACCGAACAGGTTTTAATCATATGTTTATGTGAAGCAGATTAAAAACAGAGATCTGTAACTGGAAGAGAAAGCTTTTCTTGCTGAAGAATGAATTATTTTAGATATGAAATATTAATTCACACTTCAGTGTTATGCAGGAGAAGGTGAAAAGAATTACAGACATGGAATGTTGCAGTAATTGATCAAATTATGTATATAGTTGATGAAGACTATAGGTGTGGTCAAAAGTCTTTGGAAGTAGAGCCTGCCAATGCAAGTTCAGGCAATTGCATTTTCAACTGAATATGTAGAGTAAAATGGCACTGGTGCTAAAATGAAGAGCTGTTCCGAATAAACACAAAGAAGTTCAGATGTCCTGAATTCATGCAATTACAAACAAAAATAAATCAAGTACAATTTGTGTTTACTTCCTTGCACTTCTTTGTTTTGCTTTGATGAGTGTAATGCAAATTGCAGAATACTCTTCAGAATTCCAAGTGCATCGCTGAGTAAAAATAATCAGTGCTTGTGTGAGGGGAGACAGGATTTTAAGATGATGCTTTCCTTTGTGTTTTTAATCCTTTCTTGTATTAATGTTAACTTGATGTAGATATTGAAAAATGTAATGTGAAATGTGCTGGTCATAATCATTTTGTTTTAAAAGTGTTGCTTTTCCCCTCTTGTAACAGGCACTATGATGCTAGAACTCCAGGAGAGAGTTACTGAACTGGAAAACTGGAAGGATGGCAAAGGCCTTATCATCTGTGGTGCAGGAAACACTTTTTGTTCAGGATCTGATTTGAATGCTGTCAAAGCAATATCCAATTCCCAGGCAAGTAGTGGTAGAAAGATTTTGGAGAAAAATAAGCTTTCTAGTTTTCTGAGGTCTCTTTCAAATGGAGGTGTTACACAGTGGTTATGCTGCAATTGTACATGCAAGTCACAGGATGGAGCTTTTCATGGTTGAAAAAATGCTGGCAGCCCGTTTAATCCACAACTTAAGTATTATGGTAATGGATTCATAACCCTGAATTTCTGTATTAACATCTTCTTAGCTTTTTCTTAAAAAAAAAAAAAAAAAAGTCTTTTCAGTTTCTCAGAACATTAGATGGATTAGACGGTAAAGTGACTCATAAAAAAGTGTCCTTCAGTAGCTTCACCTTCAAAAGCAGGGAGAAGTAATAATTTCTCATATATTCTCAGGCCAAAAACAAATTTGAATAGCATGGCTGCTATTGCAAGAACATTTCAATTTTGTCAGCAGAATGTCTCGACCTGGATAAAAAGAGAGATGCAGTTCTTGTCCAGTTGAGCCCTAGCGTTGATTGTGACCAGTTAGAGGAGTTGGGAGTAAGTCAGGAGTTGAAGAGGTAAGGGTTGGATGGCAGGTTTTCACTCATGCTGCCTTATCTTGACAACTTTCACATGTGCAGTTGTTTTTTTTTTATGGGTTAATATATGGCTATTGGCATGGTTTGACTTCATCGGCAGCAAGGGAAGTGAGCCTTCCTGTAATACTCTCACATCCTGATTTGAAATTGTGCTAACTGATAGGCCAGTGCTTTTCTATGCCTGTTTCCAGTTACAGGATTTGACCACACAAATTAGCTTTTATTGAATGGTTTAGTAAAAAACTAGTTTACCTAGTATTTTTCTTTAGTAATTGCTTCTGTTGATGAAATCAGGCATCTTAAAAAACCGTGAAGTATTTCTGGGCTGGTAACGTAAGTAGGGTGGTCCAGCTTTCAAATAGTACAGTAGGCTTTGTTTCATCTGCGGAACACCCTGAGAGGTGTACTTTTTCCTGATATGAGGGGAACCTACCTTATAAGTACTTTTTCTTTGAGGAATTTTCATTTTCTGTGTTTATTAGCACTGGTCATTTTAAAAATAGAAATATATTGGTGATTTATTATTATTATTATTGATCTTTTTTAATCTGAGTTTTTGATTTTTTTATAGCATTGGAGAAACAGAAAAGGAGAGAAAACCAAGCATGGGCTTTCTTTTATCCATATTTGCAGTCTAAGCTTTCTTTCAGACTTCTACGTTTAGGAATTTTCGGTGATTCTGCTTCCATCCTTTTTTTGATGTTTAATATTCTGTCTGTATGTTTATGTAAGTTACTTGGAGCCACTGCAATGGGAGATAAGGCTCCTAATCTTTATATGAGACCTAGCAGAGATACTGGGCATAAGGAAATATGTTGGTATTAGTTATAACTGTGTTGAAAACTTTCTCTGAGAATGTAGATCTCACACTGGGACTTAAATAGAAACGCAAGTCATCAGAAATAATATAAGAATAGTTGAACCTGATTGCTGTATGTTTCTTTTGGGGAGTTCAAATTATTTATTCTGAAGTGAGAGTTCCTTCACAGTAGCCTAGTCCTAAACCATCTCTTGGGATTTAAGTCTTTATTAAATAAAAGAATAGGGAATAGCATTTGCTGCTCTCTAGTCTTGCTGAACTCTGCTTTCTAACTTGCTGCAAATCAGAGTTTTGTTTACTTTCATGTTAAAAGAAGATTGTTTTCTATCCACGAGTGTCTCTAAGGTGCTTTTTTTTTTTTTTTTTTCTGTTTTGTGAGGCAGCCCATAACTTTTAGCAGTTACAGGTGATGCACTTGAGTGAGGGCAATTCCAGACATGTATACAGACTGAGAAGAGAACTCCTTGAGAGCAGCCCTGCCGAGAAGGGCTTAGGACTACTGGTAGATGAAAAACTTAATGTATGCTTGCAGCCCAGAAGGCCAGCAGTATTCTGAGCAGCATCAAAAGTGGGGCAGCCAGCAGGGCGAGGGAGGGGATTGTCCCTCTCTACTCTGCCCTTATGAGGCCCCATCTGAAGTACTGTGTCCAGGCCTGCCCCAGCACAAGAAAGATGTGGAGCTTTTGGAGAGGCTGCAAAGAGAAGCCGTGAGGATGACCAGATGTTGGAATACCTGTCCTATGAAGGCAGACAGAAGGAGCGGGGCTTGTTCAGTCTGGAGAAGAGGAGGCCATGGGGAGACCTCAATGTAGCGTTCCAGTATTGAGAAGGAGATTATAGACAGGAGGGAAATGAACTTTTTATATAGGTATTTAGCAATAGAGCAAGGGGGAATGGTTTTAAATTAAAGGAAGAGACTTAGATTAGAAGTCAGGGGGAAGTTTTTCCCAGTAACCTTATTTTATTTTAATCAGGAAGTTTTTCAAATTATGTTGTCTGAGACTCAAGTTAGCTGATTTTGGTTTTTTTTCAGTGTGTTTTCTGCTTAGATGTTTTTCCATATGATACACAGCAATCAGTCTACTAGTTGATTACAAGAAGACCTTTATTTTTCTCAGCTTAGTCATAACTGCATTCATCAAGCTGGCCTGTTCTGGCATTAATCTTTATATACATCTTGGATTTTGGTATTAACTGAAGTGGCCATCTTGAATACAAAAACTCAGCTGTGATGAATTGAAACTGCCTTTGTCTGCAGAGCTTCTTTTTCAGCTGCATCCTTGTGGTTATGGTATGGGAACTGTTCAAGTACATGTTTGAGAACTTATACCATGGATAATTGTGTGAGTTTTGAACTTCCTGATGAGAAATGTTAAGGCAGCTATCATGTAAGATTTTATTATCTTTAATTTGGTGTGGAAATATTGCTACTGATCTTACTGGGCATAGGAGGTGGCTGTAGTGAATAACAAAAGCCACTGTTTTTAAACCAAAATATTGAATTGAAACAGTATCAAATTCTCAGCCATCCGTGGTCCTATATAGACCTTTAAATCTCTCTATGGATGTTTGCCTGGGAGAAGTGAGAAGAGGAAAGGCTGTAAAATTTCACATCGCAGAAACTTGCAATTGTTTTAATAGTGTCTTAATTCTAACTGAAATTCTAATAAGTGATTGAGAGTTTTGTTTGTTTTTAACTCAATCCATACTAGGTTTTCTGTTGCTTAGTGAGTTTGGGCTAGTATTTGACCAAGATTAACCAAATTCAAACCCTGTTAGAGTGAATATAATGAATACTCATATCTACTCTTTTTAATTGTGACACGTTAGAATTCTTATCATTTTTAAATTTTCTGTTCTTTGTAGGATGGGATGAATATGTGCATGTTTATGCAAAATACCTTAACCAGACTCATGAGGTAATATATTTTTTTTACTTTTTTAAGTAATTATAATGATTGACATTTGTTTTGGCTAACTCTTTATTGAGATCTTTAAGCATGTGATTTTGAATCCCAGAGCTTGTATTTGTGTATCTTATTCAGGTAAGTATTTGTGGATTTAAATTAAACTTTGACAGTTTGCATTGTTAGCCTTTCCAGAGATTGGAACAGAAAAAAAAAAAAAAAAAAAAACACCTGTAAGTATGTGGAGGGGCCGGGAGGTAACTAGAGTTAAGGAAATCAAGATCTTGGAAGTATCTGACTCACTAGAAATCAGTTGTTCTTAACAAACAAGCAGGGCCAGCTTATACAGCCTACGCAGGTAGCATTTATCTAATGTATTTATTTAATCTTCCCACTTCATAAGAAGAACATATTCAGTTGTACCATCTGGTACTTCTGTTGTTTTTGTTTCTTTTTCTTTCCTTTAGATTTAGCTGCTTTTAAGAAATCACATTCCTATTGCATGCACGTGTGGTAGGTTCAATTTTTTTTTGTCTGTTCGGGGCCCTAGAAAGATAATTATTTTTTGTTTTCAAGTAGTATATATAAGAAAATATTGTGAGCTAACTGTATTCTGTAAAACTGCCCTGGAGATTGGCGACTTATTAATACTAATACTGTATTGTAAGGAATCCTCAGGATCAGAATTAGCATCCATTTGTATAAGCTGGCCTAGGTATAATAAAGATTGATGTGGCAAAGCGAAGAAGATGTATAAAGATTAAGACCTCACCTCAAGGGCTTTGACTTAGGGTATATTGCACTGTATTATTCCATTTGTGGTTCAGGTGGAGCATTAAATTGCTGTCTGGCCAAATCTATCTTAGGGGATCAATTTCTATCAGAGAGAGCTGAGGCAAACTGTGATCCTGAAGGAATTGCCTCAAACAGATGACTGTGGATGTAGGATAGTTGGACCATATCATCTGGTTCCCCATAGACTATAGGAATAATGAGCCTTCTCCTAATGGCCTCCCCTGTGTGATTTATTGTGTAAAGTGTACTCCAATAAATGGACTTAGGCTGTAAGAAATTGTTGGTGGTTCTGTTAAAGTAGAAATAAAACCAAATACATGATTGTGGTTGGGAAGGCTGACTTCTGATTGTATTTTTAACACTGAACTATGAGTTAAATGTTTCTTCATAGTAAAAATGAAACAGCTTTACCAGCATGAAAAGTTTAGGACTAGTTATCTTCATTTCTTAGGTTACTTAGCTTATTCTAAGTCAGTCCCTGTTTATTAGTATTAATTTCACAATTAGAGAATAGGAAGGGTTTGTCCCTATGTACTCTTCCTTCCTTCTGTCCTTTAAATTACCTTGAATGTGATTAAATACAGCATCATCAAAGGTAGCAGCAGATTGTTGCTATCCTCAAAGGACAGTTTTGTCCTCTAAGAAGTTTTGTTGGTTGAGATGGTAGCACTGCTGTTTGAAGAAGCTGCTGAGGTTGTTACACTGAATCTCATTATTTTTAGATAACCCAGCTGTGCAGTCCTTATCTATTGCTCAATATAATATACTGACTTAGCGTTTAGTCTTGTGTCACTGTTCTTCTTGCAGATAATCTTTTCAGGTATAATCTGTGGCGTGTATTTTTCTATAACATAATACGTGATCTGTTTTACTATGATTCTGTTCACTATTTCAGTCTTGCTGCTTCATCATGAGATCCTGAATTAATTGTGGAATAATTGTTTCTGTGTAAGTGGAGTTGGTATTGTGCTGATTTTCTGCAAAAGATGTAGCTATTTGAATAAGAGCACTATGTTTTTCTGAGCTTCTACTATAGTTTGTCTGAATCCTTGTCTAGAACTTCACGTGTGAATTTTGCTCACAAAACTCTCTTGCTTAGGTTGCCATTGATCAGCGTTGCACTAGTCCAAGGAAAAGCTCTTGGAGGAGGAGCAGAACTTACCACAGCATGTGATTTCAGGTAAGATTAACAGTTTGAGTAGTCACCACATTGCTCTGACAATTTAATGACTGTACTTATGAAATGTAGGAAGCGCTAGGTACTACTTTTTCTTGGAGTCTTGTCCGTGGATTCCAAGTCATTAGGAATTAGGCCTGTTTGGTTGGTCATTAAACTTCAGGAAGCTCTATCTTTTCCTGTGATAGTACAAAGGAAAGATGTTTTACTGCTGAGTTATATAGTTAGAATCGGTGTGTAAAAATGAAAGCAGTGAGGAACTTTAAGAACTATCACTCTTGCTACAGCCTCTGTATTGCAGCATTATAAATACTTGGTAAAAGGTGTCTTGTTTGACAGCTGTAGTGTTGGCTGGAATGCAGCTCATAGTCTTTCCCAAGTCCACTGACAGAAAGTAGATCGTGTTATCCCTAAAGAGGAGTTTAAGGAATATGAGCATAATGAAATGGAATCTTTTGGCTTTCTAAAATATATACTCTACTCTTACTCCAGCTATGTTGTTTGACATAGTCTACAATTATAATCATTGTCAAGTAGCTCTTATTTGCATAAGTGAGCAGCTGCAGTTCCTCTGATGCACTGCCATAATTTTCGCAATAACTACAGTTGTTGATCAATTTTCCACTGCTTTCTAACACACTCATCCAGTGCAACTAAATAATAGCAATTCAGAAGCAGCAAATGGGACTTAATTAATAGTAGAAACAAGCTAGAGAAAAATACTGTGTGCTGTTATTGCTCCTGAATTTGAGGATTTCAGTACTTGGCAACAAAATCGCAGTTCTTTTGAGGACTGTGAGCAGATATTACTGGAACAGAAATTCTGTCTTGAATCAGGAGATGCCAAAAGAGAAACCTGAGAATAAATCAGAGAAGTTTGTTTTTTATTTTGAATAAGCTGGTCAGAGAGTTGTGGCTGCTTTTGATTCTCAGTTTTTGACTTGGCTATTTTTCACTGTTAAGCTACCAAAATGCTTGGTCCTGGCCTGAAAAACTTTGTTTATCTATACCAGTCTGTTCTGCATTAATTATGTTGATGTTGTTGAAGTGATTCACCTGAATGAAAATGGCCTATATTCCTTCTTAGAAACGTGTTCTGGTGGCGTGATACAATCTGTACTGAAGTAGAAATGTGGACAAATTCAATTTTAAAATAGCTGATGTGGTTTAAGATATTACTGGTGTTAATAGACGGTTCTTCCAGTGGCAGTTCTTGTGGTTGTCACTTATTCTATTTTCCACCAGCTCATTTAAAATTGGATTAGGGAGGTCTTGCATGAACTTTGGCAATTTATTGCTGACATAAGGGCAATGACGAGAAGAGAAAGTATCTTAGGTTATTCCATCTTTTATCTGGAAGAGGATGTTATCTCAAGGTGTCTTCGGTCTTAACTTACTTATGGACTGTTGCAGTGTGTCTCTCCATAAGAAGCAAGATCCTTTTAAGGTCATAAACACACAATTTGTTTTTTAAATTGTTCTCTAGACAAGCATAATGTAAATAAAATCCATTTAGACTTTTTTTTCTGATATGAAAATTAAGAAGATGAAGCTTCTGTCACTATAATTATCTCACTTGTCTATTCCTGTAAATCTGAGCAGTGTAAAACTGTGCGTGTATAAAACTTGTTTGGGTAGCAGAGCTTTTTAGTGGTTTCAAGAAATCTGGACTTTTTTCAGTGTGCCACTGCTGAACATTTTCTCTTCTGAATCTGTGAAGGCACCTGGGGGATTCTGCTGCCTACCATTGGTGTATGTGGCGGTTCTGCTCAACACTGCAGCCATTTCAGTGAAGTACACAAATGACTGTGATGTTGAAGCTTTCACCTGATTCAGTGATGCAATTTTACAAAAAAAAGTTAAATGAATTCTATGTGTGGAAACCTGAAGTATGTCAGATATTTGCACAGTGTGTGAAGTTTAAGGAGCGTGGAGTTTGCAGATTGGCTAAGGAATTTGAGCAAGACTTGCTTACAGTGGGTTGCTGGGCAATAAATTAATGATTAATGATAAATTAATGATTAGGTATGGGGCAGAAAGTTTGATTTGTCTGTACAATTAGCAGAACATGGTAATCTCTGAGCATATTTGTATCAATAGGCTAGCAGCCAGTAGCCAGGAAAGCTAATTTTGCGTTTTGAACTGTCCTATTTCACACTGTTGCCTTTGAGAAATCTCTCTGCTGCAATCTCACTGGGACAGTCTGTGTAGGTCTTTTTGTTACTTGTACAGCTGTAAAAATCCAGCTGTACCTCTCTTGGTGAATGGACTTCACGGTACCTGAGTGTGTTTGAAAAATACATTTCCCTGGCACCATCCTTTAACCAGGATAGAGACATTGCAGTTCCATGTGAGTCCAGTGTAAAAGGGAGTATCTCCAGGCAGAGGGCAAGAGTAAAAAAGATGAAAAGCCGCCCACATCTTGTACCATTAATGTCAAAATGGTTCATTGATAGAAGCCTTTTTTAGAAAATAAGTTAATCAACTGTAATTTCTTGAGGTGGAACAAGTGTGATGTGTGTGATGTGGCACAGCTGAATCACAAGGGGCCAATTTCATTGTTCTTGTTTGTGCTTAGCAGTATTTTACCTCATAAAAAGCACCAATGATTTAAAGAGGCATTTGCTTCTTTAAGCAGTCTCTTGCTGTTTTTAGGAATGGCAGAATCAAGATTTTAAGAAGGAAGGGGGCTTATACTGGTAGGAACGCATTGATACCATATTGGCCTTGCTGCATTTCAATGAGATGTTTTCTGTATTTTTGTGAAACATGTTAGCATGCTCCTTAGTATTTTAAGGTGATAGTGTGTTCCATTAGACACATAAGTAATGCACTGAAATACACTATTATTGGATAGCTTTCATTGTGTTCTTGTAATGATTAGTTTATGCACTTTTACAAACATGAATTAAACGTAATTTACTCAAAATGACAGGAGCAGAAGAGTACAGACACTATATAAATGTAGGCCCACTATGACTGACTTCTCAGTTGTAGGCACTCATCCTTTTATTAGTTTACAGTTCATTTGTTGCTCCTTTAAAACAGCAACAAAAAAAAACCATCAAAACAAAAAAAAGAGTGTCTCAGTACTGAAGAGAACATGATATGAATGGTACAGTGTTACAGGAGGGAATTCACACATTCATGAGTTTTTGCAAAATCCAGGCTGACTTCACCGCGCGTGACTCCATAAATAACATTGCTGCACATTGTCAGGAACAGAATCGATGGCTAAATCTAAGAATGTGTTCTCACAACTTTAGGTGCTTACTGGATGCCACCGATCACTTGTTTAGCTATATTTAAGTTCCCTCACATTTATATGTGTGAGTGCGTGTATATCTCCACGCATAAAATGCCCTTCAAATCAGTTGGCAGTTTTAGAATTTCATTGCAGTCATGCACCACTTCACGTTTTTAGAACCTTGGGAGGTCTCTTAGTACAATTTTCTGATGAATTTTCAGAGCAATGTTGTAGAAGCGGGCTGTGAAACATTTAAAACTAAGAATGCTGTTCTTATTTTTGATCTTAAATGTTTGGCATCTCATTGAGTAACCACAGTACTACTAAAAAGGGACACAAAAACCTGTACATCTATGGATTTGTATTGTATTTTCTTTATTACCATTTTTAATTGGATTTTGAATCTCACGCATTTACAGTCTTCCACACAAAGGATTTTTTAAGGGATTGTTGTTTTTTTGTGTTTTTTTTTTCATGTCTGCAGTTCAAATTGACCACTGATTTAACTGGAAATATAAGTAACAGCAACATAATGTGAATTTGAGTTGAAGCTTTCTCTTTGAAGTCATCTTTTTGTAGAGATTTACTTCATTCAATTTTTTTTTTTTTTTTTTTTTTCCTGTAGGAAGCCAAACCATCTTATTGTGATTGAATGAGATTTTTGTTTTCAGCATCTATTTACCTTTACATTACCTCTAACACTAGGCAACCTCATGTCCTTTATTTGTACAGCTAATTCTCTGCCGTACAGGAATAATAGAGATAGCCCAGACAGACAGTGGAAAACAAGATAGAACAGATTTTAGGGAATGCAGAGTTGGATCCATGCTAACTCCTGCTGAGACACCAGGCTGTCATTTCGCTGTGGGGAAGCATTCTAGGTTCAAGAAGAATTAGTTTAGGATAAGTAGAAATGCAAGGAAATCATCTGTTACAACTGCAACTGTGAAGTGATTCATCCCCAGTGTAGATAAAACAGCCTCCAGGTATTTGACACTCCACTGCTGATTTTCACTACCAAAATAATCTTCCTTTCCTTATTTTTTTTATATCAGATACCTCCACAAGTTGATTAATGTAAAGTCTGAGAGACACGTATTCAAGTCTACTGACTATGAGATGGAGTTATACTGAACTATGATTTCAAAAAAAGGGTAAACTGAACAGTTCACCTTGATGTAGGAGGAGTGTCCCTGCTGCTCTTCTGTGCTCACTGCTTACTCATGTGCCAAGTACCACTGAAAATGCCTGTATGAGTCAATTATCAAACCTAAAAGTAACGGAAAGGCTAGATGTTTTTTGTTTCAGGAGTGAGTGATTTGCAGAAATCTAGAAATGACTAGAACCAATGTAAAGGTGGAACTAGGCATCTAGGAGAGGATGACAGTCAGGAGAGGATGGGAACACAATCTTTTGGCTTTAGGGAGCTCTTAGATTTGCCTCAGTTTTGCCTTGTTGCTTCCTGACTTATCTAAAATTGTGTAACTGTGTAATAAAGAATGCAGACTCTTTGGACTTGTAAACATAGATTCAACTTCTTCCTTTTTGGATTCTGTGGTTTGTAAGAAATGAGTTGCTACTGCTGTAACTCATCAGTTATAGTAAGGAATAAATAAAATTTTAAATTCATACATAAAATTCCTGTTTTCCTTAAATTGTTGCGTGTTTAAGCTATGGTTGAACATACCACCAGTTAGTAATCTGAAGCTGTCTGCACTTCATCATCAATGTAGCTGATCTGTCATACTAAAAAGTT